TGAAATTTCTTTTACAAGCTTCAAATGTCAGTTTTTAATCTAGAATGGCCAAAAATTATTTGTGCTTAGTGCTAACAAATTACTAGACATTTTTAGGTGTGCAGAAGACCAATCTCTAATAGTCAGGGTTCCCACTGTAGTTCTGGATTGTCAGTTTTTGTAGAAATGTAATCACAACAAACGTTTGTGAGATCACTTAACTATAAACAAAATAGCACATTATTATGAGGATGCTAATTCAGAGACTAAAAAAGTAAAACTTATTTATAGCTCTGTAAGTATATTTCTGTGAGTATATTTTATTTATATCAGTAAGCATAAATAAGTAAGATGAATGTTCAGATGATCATTTATTCAAAAGCAGCAATAAATTCTGGATTATACACTCTTAAAAAAGAAAAAAGTGTGTAAGCGTTCCTTATTCGAAGCAATGGTTCTACTTTTTATAGCTACTATGAAAAGGGGCTAATGGCAAATGGAATAGTTCAATTGTGAAAACAATTATCTCCATTTCAATGAATTTTCATAAATCATTTTTTTTTTTTTGTGTGCATTTCTGGTAATAATCAATCATGTTGTTGCTGGGTTGTATAGATTAATTAAAAATAACTACAACCCCATTTCAAAAAGTTGGGATGCTCTGCAAAATGTAAATAAAAAGTTCAATGATGTGCAAATCATTTGACCCCCTAAATTTAATTGAAAATAGTACAAAGACAACAAATCAAATGTTGAAACTGAGAAATTTTATTGTTTTTGAAAATATATGTCCATTTTTAGTTTGATGCCAACAACACATTCCAAAAAAAGTTGGGATGGGGGCATGTTTACCGCTGTGTTCCCAAACGCTTACAGAATGTTGTTAAAAGAAGAGGTGATCTTTTTTTGGAATGTGTTGTTGCTGTAGTTTTGAAAGTGAAATGTTTTCCCATTTTCATTTGATATAGAATTTCAGATGCTCACCAGTTCATGGTCTCCTTTGTCATATTTTTCATTTCATAATGTGCCAAATGTTATCAGTGGGGACTGCAGGCAGGCCAGTTCAGCATGGAGCAATACTGTTATAAGACATGCAGAATGTGGTTTGTCATTGTCTTGCTGAAATAAACAAGGCCTTCCCTAAAAAAACATTGTCTGGATGGCAGTACATGTTCTCAAAACATTCATATATCGTTCAGCATTAATGGTGCCTTCGCAGATGTGCTTGTCACCAATGCCATGTGCACTAATAGACCCCTATACCATCATGAATACTGGCTTTTGAACTGTGCACTGATAACAAGCTGAGTGGTCTTTAGACTGGAGGACACAGTGTCCATGATTTCCAAAAAGAATTTAGATTTTTTTGTCAGACCACAGAACACTTTTCCACTTCCTCTCAGTCCATTTTTAATGAGCTCGGGCCCAGAGAAGGTGGCAGTGTTTCTGAATCCTGTTTATATTTAGTTTGTTCTTTGCATTTTAGAGTTTTAATTGTTGTCTTTGAAGTTTTCAATGAGATATAGGGTTTAAATGATTTGCACATCATTGAATTTTGTTTTTATTTATATTTTTCACAGCATCCCACTTCAGCATTTTTGGAAAAGAGGTTGTAAATAAAATACAAGCAACTTACAAAACTAAACCTTATTGATTATTACTATATTTTTTGTTTGTTTGAAGTTTTTTGGCAAAAGCAGATAAACCCATGGTCATTTCATGTTTCAGAGTTAAACACAGCCATTTAATGGATGTGAGCTTCTTTGAAGTGCAATATCTAACATTCTTTAACATAAACAATCCAGTAAAGTGCTTAAAATTGCAACAAAAACAGCCCAATAATGGTCAATATTAAACATCTATAAAATCAGACCTCGGAAATTCCTAAGGCTGAATCTGAAATGACTCACTGCTCCCTATATATTACATTATGTGAGTTATGAAATTTGGCTTATATGTTTAGAATAACACACAACCATCAGCTTGTTTTTAAAGGATGGCTTTTGCAAATTAACTCTTTTATGTTGTGTTTAGTTCTACCTAAAACCTCTCTGAGCATGGTTCTATATAACACCAAAAGGGTTCCTAAGCTTGACATCATAACAACAGAAGAACCCTTTTTGGCACTTTATAGAACCATTTTCAAAAAGTTTCTAAAAATCTCTGTGGTCTCCAACCCGAGTCCTGGAGGTCCACCTTTCAGCAGAGCCAACCACTATTTGCCACACCTGCTCCAGCTAATTAACCTCTTTCCAAGTCTCTGATTGGTTGGATCAGATATATTAGAGTTAAGTAAGGGGCAAGTTATTGGATACAGGCTGGGACTAAACTCTGCAGGAAGGTAGCTCTCATTTCACTATGCAAAACATTTAAGCATGAAATACTTCTATATAGAACTCATGGTTCTAAGTACAACCAATGCCTTTATAAAAGAACCTTTGAAGAGCCATCTTTTGTAAGAGTGCAGGACAACACATTCAACATGTTTCTAAGTATTTTACATTACAAATCACAGCATTTCTTTTTCCAGCTTTTCCACAGCTTACAGAAGTATAAATAAGCATTGCCTTTTTAGTCTGTGGATTAGCATGCTCACAGTCATTGCCATGTCATTATTTTGCTTTCAGTCACATGATCTCTAGAGGGTTCAATTTGTCAAATTGGCACCATCTGTGCCAGCATGTCAGCTTCCATCCCTGCGCTTCATACAGCGTACAGCAGTTACATTTGAAATTAATAGGTGAGCTAATCCACAGTACTTTCCTTGAATATTTATATTTGGAAGTCTGGGGCACGTGCCAGAGAAAGCACATTTGATGTCTACCTGTGTTTGATGCTCAGGTTTTATGAGGTAAAAGTGCCTGGAGGACGTCCACCCTCGTTACGCTTGCTCTTTGATATCCTTCCTCGTCTATAAGGTTTTGATGAGCCATTGCGCCTATGTTCTACGTTCAGATGCACCTTTTTTATGACTTACAATGAATGTTCAAGGACCAATCTGCTTTATATGTTACCTTAAGTGTAGTTTGCTGAAGAAACACGGTCTGCGGTTTTATGTTTCTTCTCCAGTAACGACAGGATTCAGGAAAAAAAAGAATGAAGTGGCTCGCCCAAATTAAAAGAGACCCAATTTATACAACCCTGCCAATTTCACAGCAGTTAATGCCCACCTGTGGCAATCTCTCCGACAGTAATACTTGAGTATGATGAATAAACTGTTTGAAGCAGGTCTCCTTCTGAATACCTCTCTAACACAGAAGCTTTAAGACCACCAGTGAAGTCTACCACTTTGGCATAGCACTTACAAAGACATTTTTACATGGGTTAAAACAGCTTCAGCATAATCTAGTCCAGCTGCTGTGCAATGCTCTTAAACCCACTACTTATCCCTTGTTATAGTCATCTCAAACAACAGACTGTGATACAGGTAAGCAGCATATACATAACCTCATATCAGCATTGTCTGGAGTGAAATCCTCTCTGAAATATTATAGAGAAATAACTTGTGGAATGGGAGGTGTAAAAAAATATAATAATGAAAAAAAACAAAAGCAAGACAAACAAATCTACTGAGGGAAAGAAAATTTGGCAGGAGCTTCAAAATTTTAAGCCACTACTTTGCCTAAGGCCAAGTCATAAAGTATGCATTGCCCAAAATAATTTCAATATGACTGCTGGAAAGGCAGTTTCCCAGCAACGCTGTTTTAGACTAAATTAAACTGCTTTAGTTTCTTTTCTTTATCATGACTCATGATAAATTCTGCTTTTTAAATCAAGGACTCAAGGTCTACAACCCTATGAAAGATACAAAAGCAGGCACTATATAGAAACTGTTAAACACCATTTAAAAATGCCGGCTGCTTTTTACATTGCGTGAATGGATAGCCTCATTCTGCTGGCACTGTAGTGACTATTCCACTATTGGAGTGGAAATCAAGTTGGATATTTTTAATGAATGCAATCCAATCACTGTAACTCTGTTATCAGATCGACTAGAACACTGTTTGCTCCCTGTGTATGAAATCTTGTGACTCTGTTTTGAGCTGCTAGTGAGCAATGAGAAGTGAGAACCCCCTGCTGAGAAAACTATTCACACTTCTCCACAATGATGGCCATACTGAGATGAAGCAGACACACAACTGTAGCTTTCTTCATATTAAAGAAACATGTGAAAGTGCCAATCCAGTTTACTTCTGGTTTTGTAAATCATACACACACTTACTTACTTCCAAAATAGGTAGAAATCACATTTTATAGCTACTATGAAAAGGGGCTAATGACAAATGGAATAATAAGACATTTAAAAGCCTTACTTTTCTCTAGAGGTACGCAATCAGAATCAGCCAAGAATGGAATCAGATGATTTTTCCTCCAAATGTCCATTGGCCAGTTTAGTATACTGATTTTGGCTGATCTAGGATGAAGTACATGATGTGAGGCAGGTAACCGCACAGTGTATTTGAATGCTACTGTTGCTTCTTACTTTTGATACAACATTTTATTCAATCAATGTCATTTGATTATGTTAAACTACCAGTTTGGCTCATTAGAGAGCAAATCATGTTAAGTATATTGTGTCTTTGGCTAATATAAAGTGCTAAAAATGAGCAGATGTGGTTAATGTGTTCATTTAACCCACCCAGTGGAAGTTTTAGTCAAAAATATTTTGTTATAATAAATAAATAAATAAATAAATAAATAAATAAACAGAATCAGCAAAAAGTGTATGATTTTTGCATCCTATGTTTTTTCCTGACCATGATGATATTTAAGGAGAGAAGCTAAAGTGGCTATAGGTAAGATGGTCACATCACATATTATTAGCCTAGCAGACTTAATCTAGCAGTTGTTGCACTGGGTGCTCTCAGTCAACTAACTGTGAGAACAGCTGAGGACAATAGTTCATTGTTGACGTCGTGTGCAGCCATGTCTATTTTGGATTTCTTCCTTTTATAGTGCGCCATAGGCCAGACTAGTGGGCCTGATCTCTCCTCCCTGGGGTGAGATGATATAAAAGCTTTGACGTACAATCTCAGCCTCCGTGCCCTGAGCTTCCACCTTCTGCCTGACCTGCTCTCACTGTTTCTGCCCCTTAGCCAGGATCAAGGAGGCTCTTCTTGTCCACAGCACCATGGCCCCCAAGAAAGTAGAAACAAAGAAACCGGAACCCAAGAAGCCAGAGCCGAAAAAGGAGGCTGCCCCGGCCCCAGCAGCTGCCAAACCGGCCCCTCCAGCAGAGCCTGAGCCTCCTAAGGAGCCTGTGTTTGACCCCAAGAGCATCACCTTGGAATACAGTTCTGACCAGATTGAGGAGTTCAAGGAAGCGTTTCAGCTGTTTGACCGCACGCCCAAGGGCGAGATGAAGATAACCTTTGCTCAGTGTGGCGATGTGATGAGGGCCCTGGGCCAAAACCCCACCAACGCCGACGTTCTGAAGGTTCTGGGGAAACCCCGGCCAGAGGAGATGAACTCAAAGCTGGTGGACTTCGAGACCTTCTTGCCCATGCTCCAGCACATCTCCCGGTCCAAAGATCAGGGCAACTTTGAGGACTTTGTTGAGGGCCTAAGAGTCTTTGACAAGGAAGGCAATGGAACCATCATGGGGGCAGAACTGAGGCATGTTCTGGCAACTCTTGGAGAGAGGATGACTGAGGATGAGGTTGACCGGCTGATGGCAGGACAAGAAGATGCCAATGGCTGCATCAACTACGCTTCTTTCGTCAAGCATATTCTGTCTGGTTGAATTGGATTTATAGAAAGCATTGAAGCAAAAATGTAGCCAACAATTTCAAAGCCTGTCTGAAGGATATGGATGTGGAAGGGGTAAATCAGTGAACTGGACTTATTAAAATAAACCGCAGTATTTAGTATTTTCGTTATTTTGTAGCTCACTTCATCACTTGATATTCCATCACCCCAACTTGTTTAGCACCTGATCAAATGTGGACAGAAGTGTCAAAAAGTGGGTGGCGATTTGATTTGTTTGGATTGGACAGATACAATGACTGTGGCCATGTATAGGTTTTGTGCATATTGTCCAAAATCAAATATGTTTAGCAGGAAACATGCATGCAATTATGAAAGCATTCAGACGTAAATGAGACACTGTGCATTCATCAAGAAAAAGATGCCATGTTAGTGCAGTCTGAAATATGTTTTTAATGTTACCTTACATAAGAAGCAATATTTCCGTCTGTCAATCAATGCAACAATAAATAAATTCATAAATAATCTCGCTTGCTGTTTATTTGGAATTCTCAGTGTCACTCACAAAGGACATGGGAAAGCATCAGACACTAAAGCACTCAAACACTGGGGGCAGCATGCAGGTGTAGATGACTGCTGATGCGATGGACTAGTCAGATGCCATAAGATCAGATTACATTTTTGGAACTGTCTGATAAGGAACTCAATGTTCTGCTTTTTATGGAGCTACAAAAAACTGCAGTGTCATCTTTTCCATCCTGCATTTGCTAAATCTCCAATAGAAAATGATCCACCTTACAAATAAAGGCACCAAGAAGGGTTTTGCAGCAATGCCATATAACAACCAAATTTGGATCCCTAATGCAGTGGTTCCCAGACCAGTCCTCAGATACCCCATATGGTTGAGATTTCTTGTTCCATCACAACTCACAATGCATTGAGGTTGAGCAAAAATGTGGACTGTCACGTGATCCCTGAGGACCAATTTGAGAACCACAACCCTAAAGAACCTTTCACTTGAGTGGTGTGGATTGAGTTTCAATTGAACCATCCATTGAAAGGTATCCAAAAGTAGATCTTCTATGGTAGTGCTTTATTTTGGTACTTTTTTAAGAGTGTATGATGCACAGTTAGTTGAAGATGAGTGGGGACGATATTCAGTATATATTTCAAAGTTAACTTCTATATCATGTGGTGGGTTATAAATAGCTTCTCAGCAGTGAAGGTCTAAGTTATTCTTTTGGTTTTCCAAGAAAATAGTCGGAGGAAAATATTAAAGATTATAAAAACAAGCAAAAGCTTAACTTTTTGTTCCATAGAATCTCAGTGCTTTGAGCATGATGGTTCATGCATTTTTAATTCGGCTCTCAGTTGCGTACTGTGGCTCATTGAGGCCAGACAAGGTTGGGGGACTGACATCAAACATAACTCACCCCAGTCTCGCACCAGCCTCAACTTTATTTCTGCACTCTTAATGCAGTGACCTTTAGCCAGGCAGCCCAGAGAGCGGGAGAGAGAGCCAGCGAGCCAGTGGAGAAACCTCAGGATTTTGCTTTGATGCAATTTACAGGTCCCCCTCTATTCAGGGGCCAGGAACTGGGCCTGCGAGTGCATGCATCAATGGGAATGTGAGCCATGTAATCTCAGCTGAGGAGAGGCACACAAGCAGACCTCCCAGTCATGGTGTTGGGCAGAGAGGGGAGGGTGAGAGAGAGAGGTAGAGAGAGGGGTACTTATCAGACCTTCCCAGGCCCCCCCTCCCTGTCATCAGGCAGACAGCTGCTTCTTCCTACTCGATGATCCCTGGTGTCAAGCAGTCCAAAGGCCTTGAACATGAATTTCACAGTCCTGGACATGAGGCCCAAAAGAGGCACAGCTTCGACCAAAAAGGCAAAGCAAAGCCAATTTAGAGCGGACACAGTGGCATTTTCATCCAGATTTGACCGATAGCATCTTTAGAGAACCATTTTTGTAAAGGAGATGTGTATATGGATCCTTTAAAGGCTTAAAATGTTCATTATGTAAAAGATCTCTCACAGATGGTTTTCTAGAACACATTCCTAACCTAAATTACCTTTCAACAAATGTTTTGTTGAGGAACCATGTTTGTAAATAAGATGTGCATCTGTGAAGAACTTTTTAAAGACCCAAGAGTGTCCATAATGTATATATATATTAAGCCAGTTATACTAGACAATGCTATAGTTGGTCCATCTATTTGCAAAGGGCACTACAAACAAAACTTCAAATAGATGGAAAATGAATAAAAGATGAATAAAAGATTTTGAATAACAGTAGCACTTTTAGCCTCCCTGCTTGGTATAATGGTATTTTAAGCAGGGTAAGAGTTGGTATTATTTTATGTTGTCAAAAAAGCAAGCATGAGATAAATGAGACCTCAAGCACTTAACGCAGCAGTTCCTCCCAAAATCAGATACAATTATGACTGAGTTCTCCAAGGGAAATTTGTGATTATGCATTGAGGGAAACTTCTACAGTTTGACTGCTGTAATAGCTTTGGCAAGAGTATTTATAAAAAGACCGCTCCTGCTTTAGAGATATAGAAAATATTGCTTGTCTCCATGGAAACTATGCACAGGTAAGTGGATTGTGTGATATCTTGAGTATCTAGACAAGTTCCCAAATGCAAATACATAAATAAAAGAATGGGATGACCTTCTCCTTTTCTCTCTACATAAATTTTCTAAATTCTGTAGACATGCCAGGACTGTTTGCATAGTTTCAGGGTGAACCAATGTCTTCGGCAGTTCTGACCTGTGGTCACCTGGACTGGCCATTGTCATATCAGATACAACATTGCTACTAACAGATACTGCTTCCATCAGTTTTTACATGCTTTCACAATATGCTCCAGTAACAGCCTTTGATGTGCTGTATAAATGTTTGAAATAAAAACAAAACGAACAAACAAACAGACAGACAAACAAACAAATAAATAAAAAGAAGAATGCCTCATACTTTGGTGAAAATAGGTTTGTAAAAAATTGTCAACGGATAATTAAATTGTATTCTTTGTCATTTAATAACTTTTTTTTCCTTTAATAAGGTTTTTTTTTTGTTTTGTTTTTGTTTTGTTTTTTTTGTTTTTTTTCCCTAAAACTTAAACATTAAGAATGAAATGTTTGATTTTCTGTTTGTTTCTTGACACTGAAAAAATGAATAAGTATATAAATAAATAGTATTACTGGCTGTTTTTGACTGGAAAATGAAGAGTGGCTTCTAACTTTTAGGTATAAAATAGCAAAAATGATTAAAATAAAGGAATATGACAAATGATTCCGATTCGTTGGACAACAGTCTCTGCTATCACCCAACAGATATTTGTATATATACCAGTAATAGGCCGCTATGGCCCTGCAGTGAAAATCTACCGAATACATTCTTTAACACATACAACAATTTTTGTCCTGCAATTTTAGTCTAAGGCAGAAATATCCAGCGGTTCTCTTCCCCCCCAGGGGCTTCTGGCTGTGGCTGAATGTTTCAGGTGACAGTGGCCTGTGACAATGTTATCTGGCAGGCCCTGGTCAGCGTCGCCCACAGCGGAAACTGCTCGGAGTCGATAGGTAACCACGCTGGAGCCTGACCGCCTGCGTCCCTCAGCCTTCAGATGACTACACACATAGCCTGGCATGGTGCAATTGTCCTGACACTATTACTGCAGAGGGGACAGAGGCATGCTGATGTAACGGCTGCTGAGATATGGAAGTGACCTCACAATCATGTTGTCATGGCGAGCTTCTGGAGGCGGTTGCCACGGAGTAATGAGGTCACTTCTTTTGTTATGCACTGATGGTATCACTCTAAACACATGCTGTACTTTTCAAACTTTAATCTCTTTTTTCAATCTATGAAATGAAATGTTAACTTTTTAACATTTAACCTCGTTTGCATTATTATTCAGCTATTATCAGTTATTATTTAATTACTTTGATGCTGATTAGTTGGTTTATTGTAAACAGATACTCCTTAAATGGCCTGGACTCACAAGCCAGTACAAACAATTATTAGATGAACAATGATGTACACTGTTGAAGGGTTGGCTCTTCAAGTGTTCTTTAATAAACACAATGGTTGTATAGAGAACCATAAGCACTCAAAGAATAATTTTCATGCTTAAATTGTTCTTTTCATCACGAAATATGTTTTTCAGATTGATGGACAATGTGTTGTATATGGTTCTATACAGCACCAAAAAGGGTTCTGCAATTGTTACTGTATCAAGCTTGTAACAATAGAAGAACACCTTTTGCTGCCATACAGAACCCTTTTCAGTAAGGTTCCATGTACTTTACGCCATGCTAAGATCCTTTTAGGCATGCAAATGGTTCTCTGAGTGTTCATGGTTCTACATAGACATTGTTTTTACTAAAGAACGCTTGAAGAACCATGTTTTCATATAGCACCAAAAATGGTTTTGCTGTTACGGTGTCAAGCTTGTAACAATAGAAGAACCCTTTAGGCATGCAAATGGTTCTCCGAGTGTTCATGGTTCTATATAGAAGCACTGTTTTATTAAAGAACCCTTGGAGAGCCATGTTTTTTAAGAGCATAGCTGTTATCACCTGCCAGATGTTAATATGTTGTTGCTGACAATCAATCAATCAATCAATACAGTACAATACAATACAATACAATACAATACAATACAATATATCCCCAAAATGCAATGGTGCTACGGCACTGTGAACTGTTTTTTAAAGAGTGTGGCTGTTAAGCTCTTTTGTTATGTATCGGCATCACTCAATATGCATCATATCTTCAACTTCTGTTATACTATTCGGTAACACTTTCTATGAATGTCACATTTGTAAGCATCTATAAACACATTTATAACATGTTATAATGCCTTGATATGGCATTATACACATGATTATAAACATTTGTAAATGAACTACACTGGATTACACTTCATAGCCATGTTTATTATACGTTATGAATTGTTAATATAATGCATTATAAGTAGTGTTGATAACGTTATACTGTCAGTGCCAAAGAAGTCAGTCCCAGCTTGGAGAGCATAGAGACAAATACCAAGCTAACGGTGGTGAACATTACCTTTCCCACATTGGGTAAAACACTGATGGCAGCTCTAGTTTAAACTCTGACATTTAAAGCCTGTAATGAGCTTTACTGTGAATGTTTTAGTGTTTCAGTAAATCCTTCAGTAAATACTTCAACTTGAAGCCTCACTCTGAACACTGGAGGAGGCTTTAGTACAGTACGCTTCACTTTACTTAGAGCGGACAAATATCACTTATGAGCTCTTATAATTTGTTATGAACAGTACTTATAATGTGTTATGTTAACAATTCATAATGCATAATAAGCATGGCTATAATGTGTAATGTATTTTTATAAATATTTATATCCATATGTATAATGCCTTATGAATGCATTATAACATCTTATGAATGTGTTTATAGATGCTTACAAAGGTGACATTCATAGAAAGTGTTACCTACATTTCTTTTTTCAAATTCAATAATAAAGCAAATTACACA